ATGTGTAAGTTCGAAAATCACAGGTTTTTTAATGCGTTTTGGATCCCCTCTCACAAAAACTGGGATTTGAGTCTATAAAATCCAAAGTTTCCAAAGCCATCATCCACAATGGTACTTTGTGTTGTCAGCAGAATTCAAGTTTTGAGTTAACTGATGGTAATTGTTACTTAAATATTTTCCATACAAGCTAAGATGTTGGGGCTGCAGGTTCATGCCTGTTTGGTGCCATTGGGTTTAACAGCATTTCCACAAGGAAACGCAGATCACAGTTTTTGTCTGCTGCTCACTTGGGAAGGTGGTCTTCACGCATGTGCACAATGTTCTTTTATGTTTGACATGACAAACTGATTACACATTATTGTCACCCACTGGATTGTCTTCTGTGGGTGTTTACAACATTTCTGAGTTGTCATGCAGACAGAGAAATATCCAATGATTGGCATGATTTTTTTTTTTTTGACAGAAAGACAAATGTTATGGTTTTAAAAACATTCACACGTTTGAGCCTAGCTCAGGTTTTTTAAATACAAGGTTTTTCATCCTTCGTTCGACAAAATATTGCTGCTCACAAGACAATGTAGAAACATTTGAAATGTCTAAACCATTATTTGTCATGCACAAAACTGAATTTTCAAAAGGCAGTTTTGAAAAACCTCAGTTTTGTACAAGAACAAAAGGCCAAAATGTGTCTGTCCATCTTCACTTTACTCTTGAGGTTTGATTGAATGAGGTTTTGCATGACAGAGTTATGCTTCAAGGCTTATATTCACTCTTCTTCGTACACTGCACTCCAGTCTACTGTCCGAGCCAATGTCATGACAACTTGTGGTAGTGTCCTTTAAAAAGAAAGTCAATAAATCCAGTACAAAAATACACATTCCCCATACTTCCTATGTTTCATCTGCAAGTCATAGAAACATGCAATACAAAAGCCTTCCGTGTTGGTCTCCATGTTGCGTGATGAGGTGCTGGTGTAAATGATTTGCCCAGAGGCCTTGGTGGCTCTTTCACCCGTGAGACTGCTCTATGTGCCCAGGAGGGCAGAACCCAAGGATGGCATAATGTTTTCATCAGTGCCATGATCTGCCCCTGGGGTTGCCCCTGGCTGAAATAGGATCCTGAGCAGAATCTGTTACCTGTACCTGTGCCTGTCCTTATCCTCACCTCTGTAGCCTTATAACAGGTGGCTAACCCGCTTATATAGCTGGTGTCAGTGAGCTGCCATAATCGCAATCATTTTAAAAATAAAATTAAAAAAATCACATAATAAATCTTTAATCATAGCTCAGCTTGACCCTGCATGTAAACCTACTGACTACAGCACAGTTTGTCTTCTGCACCCTTTTAAATTCTGTGTATTTTAGTTTTGACACTGTTTGGCAAACTGCTTTCAGATAAGAGTTGAAAATTTGGAGGCATGTCTGTAAAATTCAAACCCAAACAGAAACATAAATTATCTTTGTGAGAGACAAAGTTTTGGCTACATTGTGTGTGTGATTTAGCCAAATAAGCACCATGAAATACAAAACATGATGTTTTCCTCATAAAATGGATCACACTTGATAATGAACATTACAGGGGACTAGGTGGTATTCATCAGGAGTTTAGTTTTCTTAGATAGCAGTTCTTGAGATCTTTTTTTAACCTTTATTTAAATCAAGATTAAGGTCTCCTATACAGGGCCTCTTGACCTGACCAAGAGATAAGCAGCACACATCTTGATAAATATTTCAAAATTAAGTGACAGTAAGTTAAAAACAGCTGTTCAAAAGGTGCAAACTATTTAACAAATCAAGTACAAAAGCAGTAGGTACATATATTAAAGAGAAAAACAAAAAACATCACTGTTTAGTGGTGTCAAGTTATCTTTCATTTAAGCTAGAGCAAAAGGCTTCAGGTGAGACTGAATCTGACGGTTTTAAATCAATCTGGGGATTATTCCACACAGAGCAGCCAGTAAAACTGAACACTTGTTTCCAATCTCAGTGCAGAGACCACCACAAGAGCACAAGGCATGGTGACTGTAGTTCTTTAGAGGTATGAATACAAGAGAGCTAAGCCAAGTCTAGTTTTAGAAATTAGACTCAGCCAGTTTGTTCATGTTTGTGTCCAACTTTGAACACTTATACTCCATCATCGGTGTAAAAATGAATCTAGGCATTCAACAAGTTATCACACAGGTATTAGATAGGGGTGCACCGATCACAAGATTTTAGCCAATACTGATTTTTTTCATAACTGACAACATACACCTTCGATGCTCCAGTCTTGTTTTAATGAAAACCATTGAACAATACTTATTAAACAATAAAAACTATGTTTGCTTAAGTTGTTCCCTCAAATATCAATGAAAAGTTTAGAATACTGCTGTCCAAACTACTAAATTATATCAGTTCCTTTAGATTTTTATTTTCCACATTTTACAATTTACAAATTTACAATACTTGCGTAACAGGTCACACTGCAGGCCTATTTTTAGTCTCTTACCAAAATAAAGTGCACAGCAGTATTTTCCTTTTACAAATAAAGGAAATTACAAGGTTTGAGGAAGTTAGTAAAATAATAATCTACAGGACAAACTAACAACACAACTTAAACCACCAATAAACTGTCCTGAGTTTTAGGTTTCCTTGTAATGGGTTTAATATGCTTGGTTGATCATACTCCAGATGACTGTTGTGTGTGCCGCTGACGCACACGTGTGTGCACACGTGACCTGGTGGACGGGACTGTCATTCTGGCGAAGCAAAAAGCTACAACGGCTGACTTTCAGACCTTTGCTGAGGTAGATAAGATTGGTGGATAAAATCAGTTTTATGTGTAAGGATCAGCCGATCACAGATCCCCCAAAATTGAGGAAATCAGCACTGATCGATCGGCCGGCTGATTTATCTGTGCATGTTTAGTATTCAAGTAGATGGAAAAAAAAATAGGTCCCAGTACCATACCTTGGGGCACACCTTTAGAGACCTTCAGAAAAAAGAAGGTGGATACAGACATCTGAACATGCGTGTTCTTTCACGCAGATAGTTGTTGAAACCAGGATGCTGCTTGTTTTGATATGCCCATACCGTTGAGGGCATTGACCAGTATAATTGTGGCCTACAGTGTCAAAAGCCTTCATCAGATCAGTGAAAAGAGCCACACTGTATTTGTCACAGACTTACTCTCCAAAAACATAAAGAAGTGCCTATGTTTGACTTCTGCCAGGAAGAGCATGTAGACACACATTGCCCAAAACAATAATGTGACTTTGTAATCCTTCGGTGAAGATGCAAAACTGGATGAACACTTTGAAACAAAAATTAGTACTGTTTTGCCCTGAGTTCTGTTTCTCACATGAAAGCAGTCCACTGGAAACTCTTCTGGCCTGTTCCTTTCACACCAGAGAGGGGGAAAGAAATTCTACAATTCTACACATCATGCTGTGTCCATTCCTTGTAAAACACGTTGGCTCCTTTTTTTGTCTAAGATCTTGGTTTGGTAGAAAAAGTTCTTGTTTTTCTTCAAAATAGAAAATAAAAATCTCAGAGTATGACGTGCTTGAGCCGTTCGGACTAGTAGGAGGCCTGAAACTAAGATGGAGATTAAAGCCACAATCACTGCTGGACTGAGGTAGCAGCTGGAGCCAGGGAGTGCAAATTTCCATTTTTCAATTTCTCATCTTCCAATATTTTCACAGGCCAATTCATCTAAGAGCCCCCGCCCCCTTTGAAGAAGGCAGGAAAGCATTTGGTTCATGGCAGTTCTTAAAACAAGCCTGTGCGTGCTTGTGTGTGTATACGCGTGTATTCAGAAAAGGGTAGAAAGGCACAGACACTTTAAATGACTGTGGATGTGTGCGAGTTGTAAGGCTTTAACTGATCTTTAAAGAAACAGCAAGTTTTTGATGGGTTTGGAGTTGGGAAAAGAAAAAAAAAAGAGGAAAAATAAATACTGCATCTCTGAAATCTGCTCCAGCTATTCATACGCATGTATAAATATTAATGCAACCGAGCTGCCAACAAGCTTTTAAAGAACTGTACAGTGACATATTTTACGGTCCAATCCCCATGCTTTTATGGGCTTTGGACAGATGCTGACAGAAGATATCACAATCATGAGCTTCAAAAAAGAGAAATATGCGCAGTTGTCCTTGGTAACAGTGGTAACAATTACTGACAGTAAAGTGAGAAGAGATTAGAGTGAGTTTAAGAGCTCCCACTCACCACTCTCACCTCCATTTCATGTCCAAGCTAACACTCAACTGGTGCTTTGAATTCATTTAAAAGCAGAACGGATTTACGCTTGGTATAAATGTCAAATGGTAAATTAGGAGATCAGTGTTGGACAGTGACATGTGAATAGGACTACTTTGTACTTACAGCTGTGTAGGGCCATCAAGCACTGGCTGCTGCATAGCTCTTTATCAGTTGTGGTTGCATAGTTTTGCATCATTTGACAGCCACAGCACACACTGATAACAGAAAGTGGGCCAAGAAGTCTGAATGTGGAAAATGATGGCATTTTTTTTTTTTTTTGCCAACAGCAGCAGCAGCTCACAGTTTTCACAGGTGTGTGGGGAAAGGGGCGTACATAATAAACACGCCAGAAACCCAGATCTGAAACTCAGTGATTTCAATAATTCCTTTTACCTGTGCTTCATGATTACTAGTGCTATTGTAGACTGGCCCATTATAAATGAGTAAAAAGTAGGTGTTTTCCAATTTTTTTTGCTGTCGTCTCATTACAGTTATTAAATTTGATCAGGCGACTGATTATTATTATTATTTTTTTTGGTAGTATTATTATCCCAGCTTTTTTTTTTTCAGTTTTTAAAATAAAAACTAGAAATAACGTGGAACATGTGCGGAGCGTCCTTTTATAAAGGACTTCAGACCTGACTCAGGTTGCTTTCACACCAGAGCTGTTTGGTCCGCTTTAAATGGACCAGAGTTCGTTTCCTTGGATAGTCCGCTTCGTTTGGGGAGGTGTGAAACCTCATCCGAACTCTGGTGCAAACCAAACAAGCGAACTCTGGTCCGCCTGAAAACGTGGGTCTCGGTTCGCTTGCAAGTGAACCCTGGTTCAGTTCGTATGCAGTGTGAAAGCTCACCGGACCAAACACAGGACCAAATGTACGTAATGACGCTATACGCAGTGCATCTTGGGTACAGGAAGCATGGCATCCCTTGTTGCTATGGCACCAAGTGACCGCTGACACTAGCAGTTGCTAGCTAGCTTAGCTCAATTGTCTGAACAACAATAACCCATAAATTCACAATTTGGCATATTTAAACAAAATCAAATCACAACTACCAACAGTCACAGTCCTTAAACTCTGAGCTCATATGTTGTCACATGTTAGATCGTCAAAGTTAGAAAAATAACAGGCTCAATCCCTGACAAGCTACGATAGCATTATAGGAACAGTTGCGTTCACTAACGTTGTAGCATTCCATAAAATAATGTGACGAAGCACGATACAAGACGGCTAGTCCACCCCTGTTTGTAATCCATGAGGTTACATACCCCTCCTACTTTGTCCAATCGAAGAGCGCCCCTTTCAACCACGTGATGCTGCTCGGAAAGTTCGGTGCACTTTAGAAACCACAGTGTGAAAGCAGAACCGAAATAAGTGATAAATGCAACAATGTTGCGACTTTTAGCTCCCCAATCGAACCGAGTCCACTTGGTGAGGTATGAAAGCGACCTCAGACTAAAGCGGTAATGACTCAGGCTTGGACTCAGATTTGAGCACTGACAAAGATGGGGGACGCACACATAATAAAATGCTGCGAAACTAATCTGATGCTTTAAAAAAAAAAAAAAAAAAAAAAGCCTTTAGGGACATCTCTCCAGTTCATTTTTCATGTCTTAGTAGAAAAACGTGAGTGCAGAAAGACTGAGTCTTTATGGAAGTAAAGATAAAATGGATCACTACTCTGTGAGAGACTGCATAAGCAAGTGGCTCATTTATTTCAGCACAATACAGTAAAAATCTGCATTGCACAAGATAATAAAAAAATTCAGAATCTAAACAGGTCAATGCCCAAAAGAGACAAAGATGAGGAACTAATGATGAATTGCTGTGAGCTTAAGGAGCTTCAGGCTTCACTTCGTTAAAAAAGACTCTAAAGTAGAAATCACTGCAGTACATGGGCTTGAAATCACTTTCATAAACCACTGTCTATGCATGCTGTTTATTGTTGCATTCTAATATGCAGGTTCACCATGCAGAGGAAGCCATATGTGAACATGATCTAGAAATGGCAGCTACCTTTCTGGGCCCACACCAATTAAAGACAGAGACTATCCCACTGTCTGTCACTGAAGCAAATTTGACATCCCTTTTATCCTCTACTTTCATCCACAGCACATAACAAAAAACAAATAGTGCATCCTTGAAGGTATGGGTATAGGTAAGGGGCCCCATGCGTAGAAAGTTTACATATATGTGAAGGCACAATGAAAGCTGGAAAACATAAACAGAATTTGGTTCAACATCAAACAGCACCCTTGTCAGGAAAGGCCTTGCATAATTCACCAAATACACTACCAAGCCATATTTTTCAAGCATGGCTCTGTAGTTGAAGGCTCCAGGTGATACACTGGCTTGCCTTAGTCCCAACAAGAAGTTAAAAATACCACAAAGTCAATCTAGTTTTAACATATTATTTGGACAGTCTTCAATTAATTTTGCAAATTGATTTTCTTCAAACCATTTCAATCTGTTTGATTCACATTTTACAGTGTCTTGACTTTTTCTTTGGGTTGGTCTTCACTCCAAATAGAAGAGAACTAAATTTAGGTGGGAAAGAAAATTAAGTCAGCATTGACTTTTGACCTTTCTTGAACTTGAGCCCCTTGAGAGTACATTCTGTGTTTTCCCTTACGGCCCTTCTTTCAGCTTTGACCACTACATCAATTTGCTTTTTATTTCTATGACTTTATCAAATTGTTAAACCAGGAAGTGCTTATCTTATGACAGTCTGTGAAACCACTAAGAGAAGTTATATGAACTTAAAGAACCAATATTACATGTTTATTAGACTGACGGACTAAGCTGTTGAAGCAACTTCTGTCAGATTTGTGGGGAAACACAGCTTTATTGTCATCAAAAACATCATCTGCAGCAATTTGGTTGTCAAGATTACTTGTATAGAAAAATGGCTGCAATTCATGTTGGCATCAGATGGAAACCATACCACAGCTTTGAAAAACAACACACTCATCAGTGTCAATAAGCTCACTCTGAGAAAAACAGCAGTTTACGAGGAGTTGTAGACTGTTTACCATCACAGTTTGAACAAAGACCTTTTTATTCATGAGGAAATCAGCAGAGAAAGCTGTCATTATCTACTACAGTTCTTTTGTTTACAGTGATCTGCACAAGAAATGCCTGTTGAAAACCGTCTAGACACTGGGTTTTAGTCACAACTGACACCAAAAGTAGAAGGATAAGTGAATAATGGCAGGGGGAGGGGGGTCTTATTTTTAAAAAAAAACATTTTACTCCAGATCAAAATTCAGATTTTTGAAGAGATGAAACATATAAAAGGCAACATTTTTTTCTTATTTTCAGTCTTCTGACAAAGTACTCTGGGCTATAACTATCCACAATCTGTGATAGACTGCTCTGACATAATCACACTTTTCTAAATCAATGTTAGCGAAAGTGTTTGATACAAAATGGGAAACTGTAGAGAGGAGAGCTTTGGAGCTTTGCCGACACACACCGTCTGCAACAAACAGAACAGGAACTCAGTTTCTTTCTTCTTTTTATTACCATTTTACCACAATGTCAGTTTATCAGTTACAGCTAGAAAAGTTTATTGGCTTTTATCAATACCTCTTGACCATGGAGCTTAATCCAGGCCAAAAGATTTGTTAGTTTTGAAAAAAAAAAAAAAAAAAAAAAAAAAAGGGAAGTGATTGAAAAAAATTTGATTTGACGACACTTTAATTGTAAAGTGTTGTTTCACTTTTGCCTTATATAAGATTTCAGTCCTTCAACAGGTCAAGATCTCCGTTGTAATATTAATTGTTTTATGATAAAGAAAAAAATCTTCCATGGGTAACAAGCCGGGACTGCAGACAGGCTAGTTGAGCACCTGTACTCTTCTACTTCAGAGTGGCAGAGGATTTAGTGTTGATAATTCTCCTCAAAGTCAAATTTGGACTCCTGAGTCTGCAGGACAGTTTTCTACTTTACCTAAGTCTGTCTTAAACAGGGTTGGGTTCATAAATACTCTGCTCTCTGCATCACACAAAGCAGTGAACATCTTCCAATGAATTAATCAAATTAATTGAGAGATTTTCCTTCAGAGATTTTGTTTTTGGTGGCATCAAACTGAAAATGTGCACATATTTTTGTGGAAAACAAACAAACTTAATTAAAAAAAAAAAAAAAAAACAGTGAAGCATCTGAAAAGTGTTGAAACTGAATAATATCTTTGCACTCATCTAAATGACATTCAAATAAAAAATACAGGGTTCAAATGAAAACCACTAAGACCCTTTTCATCTGCCTTTTGGATCCCGTCCCTACTTATTTTGTGACCACATTTGTATATTACCTGACCACTTTCTTATATCACAGCTGACAAGTTGGTAGTTAAGCTGGACTGTCTTCTCTATTTCATGAGGCAGTGCTAGCTAATTACGGTGCTAAGATAGATGTCAAGCAGCACAGTGTTTTGCACAGCGCTGCCTGCCTTACCGTCCTCAGGCAGCTTTGGTAATTAACTGTTTTGGATTGTACCTCTGATCTGCCTTTAATGCAGACGTTTGCAGCAGTGCACCCTTCTCTATAGATTCAACAAAGGACTTGCTTTATCTCTGCCCACTATACTGGCTCCGGATAGATTTTGAATCATTGCTGGATTTCTCCCTTTAGCCTACAAAAAAATGCAAGATCATTACAGGACTTTTTGGGATGTAAATTTATTCAGGTTTGGAGCAACGCATTAACTAGTTAGCACGTCTTTCCATTCAATTTCCCCCTCGCATTACTGATTTTAATACGGTCTTTGATAACAAAGCTCTGTGAGAATGCACAGCAGGGATTTCATTGTGATGGGAAAGTGATGGATTCATTTTTTACAGGAAGCTGAGGGATCAGTCTTAATTATCTCAGGTTCTGGACTTTGATCTGATTTCCTGTCCACGTCGCCTGGTGCCAGAGGTGCTCCTCCACATCATATTGAATGTATTTGAAGTGAGTGCTGGTGGCCATGTGCCTTTGTGAGGAAACAAAGTCCTCATAATGGAAAGAAAATGCTTTTTAGAGGTAATAAAACCCCCAGGGCCAGATTACTGATGGCTTCAACGGCCATATGGAAATGCTTATTTCAAAATGATGTTGTGTATTTGAGAATGGTAGTTTGGGGCCTTTAAAGGTCAAAAGTAATTAGCATATGGATCAGGGGTGTTGAAAAGTGTGATATTTTGTAAATGCTGTCGCAAGATATCTTGAAAACCCCCCACATTTGAATCCATTTTAAATTGTTCAAAATGTTGGTGTATTTTCCGTTTCACAGCGGTAACAAATCCAATCCAGCCCATTAATTTTTGCCATGTAGTAGCATAAAAAAAAAAAAAAAAAAATATATATATATATATATATATATATATATATATATATATATATATATATAATATTATATATATATATATATATATATATTATAACTGCATTTTTGCACTTTTTGGCTTGTCTGTGATGCTGCTGTGACAAAAAAAATTTCCCCCATGGGGGATCAATAAAGGAATATTCTATTCTATTCTATATATATATATATTTATATATATACTTAAATCGTGAAATATCTGATAAAGTTGTGTAAAGATAAAGTTGTTCAAAACCTTTGGTAACCCATATCTGCATAGCACATAATCATGATAATCATGATCACACCCTAACCCTACCTTAACCCTTATTAAAACATAATTAATAACTTATTTAAAGACACAATTTTATATATATTCAGTTCGTATCTGAATGTAAACTCTGTCCTTTTAACACAATCTTCTTCTATGATATCTCAAAAACACTGAATTAATTTTAAAGTGTAAAGGTTCAAAAAGGATAGAATCAACTTGATTTTAAAAGTCAGGTTTAGAGAAAAGGGAATAGACTAGACCTTTATGGTCTTTAAATTCTGTATTAGTATCAACAGTGGGAGAATAGTTAATTAGGAGCAAGAAAACCATATCATCCTCAGGGCATCAGTCTGATATTAATAATTCTCAGTTCAACAATGCAAAGGCCAAATTGTTGTTTGATTAACAGATTGTCTGTATGCAAAGCAGCACAAGATGGTAATTACATGCAAATGACTTACAAATACATAGGATTTAATATGTAGGCGTTTTTTGCTTCTGCTGAAAGTGGTAATTTGACTGCAATGAAGTGGGGCATGTTTGGTGCTGCCATGCCTGTCTGATGAGCCTCAGTGCAATGCTGAGTGAACAAGATTGGGCTTTTCTTTTAAAATGCAAGGCATGTGTCAAATAAAAGTGTGGTGGGGCATTGAGATCCATCTACAGCTGCACCATGACACATCCATACTTTGCTCTGTTTCACCAAACAATTCCAAAATTAATGTATAACTATCATCTCTGAAAGAAGCCACTGCTTTATGAATAAGTTTAGCAACCG